GCTTTGCTCCAGGCTTCCCCCCCCCCCCTCGTATGATGTTATTCTTCATGATGATACAACCCTTTTTTTACCTCTGCCTGCCCTCCAGAGGCCAACATTGGCCACATTTTCGAGTCCTACACCCGATCGATCCGATTCGAGTCTCGACCTGTACCTGGCCCGAAATCTGATTGTAAATCTTCACAATACGACTGATGGGTAGGATCTATGAACTCATGATCTATGAATACCTCAGGGACCGATGACAGAATGCATCCTACACTTCTCAATTCATTCTTCAAGTCGAATGCTACAAGATGGAATTCGCTCAGAATTCGTGGATGAGGTAAACTGAGATTATACTAGTGGCAGGACAATAGCGCACGTGGGAATGAATAACGTGATTGGTTGGGTAACGGTGTGGAGGTCCCCATGCATGTAGCCTAGGGCATGTTGTCTCTTTTGCCCTCCCCTCTCCATGTATCCACTGTGAAAAACCTTGCAAGTGCGACTTCAGTAAGACGGCGACCGCGCCTGGATGTGTGCAACGACTTGTGCCATAGTGGAAACCCCTCCATTTATACACTCTCTATGGGAAAATCCTTTTATATGTGACAGAGAATGATGGTTGCTAAAATCGCTTCCCGTGCAGTCACCTTGAAAATTGAAACATCCTCCCTCTATCGTTTGAGCCAAAGTTTTCTGGAAACTCTTTGAAATGGGTTACCATTACTGACGGATATTTTCAAGAATGCGTGCATCTCCCGCTCTGGTTTATGTGAAGAAAGATCGGCTACATTGTGGAACGTATTGGTGACTAATTCCAGCTGTATCAGGAATTGACCAGCTATAGCGACTATTTTGGCGCCATCTAGCTTCGGTTTCGTGAATCTTTACTTTAAACCAATGTCAGATGGATAACATTGATATGCCTCAGAAAAACGTCTCAAACGTGCGACGAATGTCTTCCAAATGCAGCACGTTTCCAGACTAAGAGACACCTTAATTGAACGCCAAAAAGGTGCTCACTCTGGTGCACTGGATGTCCAAAGACCCCTTTGAAAAAATGTTGAGCGTCGTCGAAAACGTTTACATGCTACTTGGGCAATGTCATATGTATACTGTACAGCCTGCAGGTCCCATATGACATGACATAATCTTCGTCACTCGACCAGTGAATGGAGCGAAAGAGGCGATTGCGAATGGAAGCGAAGAAAAATAATGTAAGTTGAAACACAGCACAGCGACGATCCACAAATCACCTTATTGTTGTTTTTTTTTTAAAGATCCCAGCTCCCAAACGGTACACCAGTATTGTTTGCCATCTACCAATGCTGCGATACGGGAAAACAATCCAACCCTTTGAAAATCTCTCTCTCGCCGACCTTCTTGGGTTGTTCGTAAAATTCTGCTAATTGCATTTAGAGCCATGGAAAGAAACGAGGCAATTAGGGTGATGGGTTTCTATGCAAAAGTCCATGTGAACGCATGTGGTGAAGATCTGAGGAATCACCTGGTATTTCATCATGGATCCTTGAAATCCCTGGATTCACGGCAGCAGGCGAGAGGCACTGATGAGAGCGATACCAGCAAACTCTTTCGAGAACTACGGCAACTCTCGTTTCCATGTTCATCCGAAAGATGGCGAGACGAGAGCTAATCAACGATGTGCTAAGAAAATTGCATCCCTTCCTTTTATTATGGCCGATTTGCGAATTTCATTTCGAAAAGGTACATCCTCAGATGGTAAGGAATAGTACTGTCGAAACTCCAAGTTCATATCTCGAAGCCTGTAGAGCTGTCACACACACGCACAAAGAAACAAAAAAGAATGAATTGTCGCTCGGCCTAGCTAGCGGCAAGAATCGCGCACGCAATATGTTTAACCTCCAGACCTCGGTTGTGAAGCAACCGACGTCCTCCAGTTTGAATTATTATGTAAGGTAACCCATATTCTTTGTAGGATGCCGGGTGTTCGAAGTTTGAAAGGGTTATCTCACTTGAACGGAACTCGATTCGGCTCGATTAGGAAACAACAAATGCTTCAAGAGTGACTGCTAATTCCGTTTATCTTATTGGCTTCTATTGAAAAGATGAGTCATGTCGACTAGAAGATATCGTTGAACAGGGGCAGGCATTCGGAGGAGGATTTGTGATAGATTGTGATAGATTCCTTTCTGAGTCAACGCTGTAAAAATGAATGCAATCTAGAATTGGTATCACTAGCTGAAAAAACCAGACCATTTAAAGGAAGTGTTGGCTCTAACCTTTCGGGTGCAGTCAGACATGTTTTCCGTCAGATGGGATTGGTTCCTTGTAGAAAAGATATTCTCTTGGTATTCAAGATTAGGAGCAAAGGAACTAGGGACTGTTATTTCACAGAGGAGTGAAGGCCTATCCAGAAGCTTTTAGTCCTCCTTTGAAGATGGAGAAATTCTTGGAAAAAGCTAAATTTGCTTATAGTAAAGGAAGGACTTGATGGCCTTCCATTTGTTGGTCTATCTGTGCGCGATAGTTCTCTTCTACTTTAATTCGAAGCTTTAGAAGGGCGTAAACTGTAATCTTTTTTGATGCAATTATTCCCCTCAGTGGAAACTCGCAGTAGTCACTAATATTCTGCCTCCGTGATTAGTCTCTTGTCAGCCATGCTTTCGCCAAAAAAGAGGATTAAAGGCCTCCTGAGACACAGTGGAATGAAAGCATTGGTCCTCATTTTATACTCCAGGTATAGCTCTATCTACAAGCAGAACGGGTGACCATGTTTTTTTTTTGCCCTGTCCATCTCTGCAGACTTCTTGGCAATGTTGTTCGCTTCATTTTCCGCACTGCTTCAATATTCTCCTTTTATCTGACAATATCTTGTAACAATTTGTACCAGTCACAAATATTTCATCTAACTTTTCTAGGATAGCGTTAATAACATAATTTCTCAAGCAATGAGTCAACTGCCAAAGGCAGGAATACTGGTTGTGTGGAAGTACTCGTGTACATAGCCAATAGATCCCGAGTAAAGCCCGAGTGAAATGGAGCTGCATTCCTTTCCGATTGGCACCTTATCTGCGTAGATTAGGTTTATCCGTCTGTGACCGGCGATCTGTCATTTATTTCAATATTTCCAGCTATAGGTGCTCAAAAGCTCTATAGAATCGGTGTACCTGAGCTTCTGAAATTAAAGCTGATTTCATTTCCCCCCTTCCGCTAAACTGACGCACACCACAGACACTGACTTGCTCGGAACAAGTACAGGAAGAGACAGTCGGAGAAGTTGCTGGTGTTCCTAAGCTGTGCGCTAGGGTCACTACTGACCATATCAGTGCAGGCGATACATATCTTCCCTTGGCGTTAACCATGCGCCCGACTATTTCTTTATCTTTCGGCCCGCTGTCTGGGTTAAAAGGTCCCTACCTAGGTTCGGAGTCCCATGAAACAGTTTCACCATAAGCTCCTTATTGGGAGCCTCGCATTCCTTCGTTTCTGTCTTCTGATGTCTGAAAAAAGGTTCATCGACTGGGCAATTTTCATGCAGGGCATATGCCATGTCGGATTTTGGCAAATGATGTTCCTTGATGGTCTAATTTTACGCAAGAGTTCTGGAGTAGTTCAACTTGAAGCTTATGGAGAGTGTCAACTGGTATCTATAACTATTTGATGCAAGCGTCTATGTGTCGCCAGAAATCCAACACGCAAAATATATCCTCCCCCGGAACCTTTGTATTCCTGATAAGGCTTCGTTCTGCCGAGTTCTGCCTGATAACATAACTGCTACAGGGTGGGACAATACAAAGCTTGGAAGATGTTTCAAGCCTAACGGTCTAGTTTCAGGAGAGCTAGCTAAAATTGTAATGACAATTATATTTAGAACGTTTAATCTGCATTTCATTGATGTTAAGAAATCTGTACCATATGAGTTTCCTTGGAATGAATTCTTCTGAGGTATCGCTTGAATATAAGCCGCGCGACTGTGTAGTCTTTTCGAAGCAAGCAAGAGAAAAAGAGTAGCACAGTTTTGCAGAGCGTAGCAACACTTATCGGGCAAAAAATGAGTCTTGCGGCTGCATGAGCTTACAGATTCAAGGGTGAAATGCGTCGACAATTAGGTGTGAAGGATGTGCAGTACCACTCCTCTCACGCGTGGAAAAGAACCGCAACGCGATCAGAACATCTCAGATTTTCTAAATGAAGAATTTCTGTCTACCAGATTTACACCGAATGAATCATCATGCATGCCTAAAAACGAATGTGTTGGCAACTCCCCTATCAAGCCAAAATTATGTTCCGCTGACGAATCATACAGGAACACAGCTGGTCTTTTACGAGGGATTCCATGCATCAGAAACCAATCGAAGTCTATCGGCCAAAGAGTTCTATGAAAGCCACTATCGAAGAAAGTTCCAGGAGATCGAGAGTTCTTGAATAATGCATTGTGATCAAGTTAATGCCACTTGCCTCTTCATTTTTCCTGGACAAGTCCGCTGAGAGACGCTGTATTCTAGGAAAAGGAAAGCTGAAATTAAAATCCTTATATCTGAAACATCGAAAGCACAAAGCTGCGAAAAATCATAGCCATAAAAAAGCGAAGGGAGGAATGCCTATGTTCTGACCATATTTGAAAGGGCATGGAAATGTCCACTTTCAAAGTGCTGTTTCCAATTCAGTTTGCTTACAGCCTGAAAATTACCGCATGGAATATAAATTTGTTAAAAACAACGGAAAGCCAACATTACATGATTTTGCTATGGAGAGGCTTTATTTTACTTTATTTTAACTCTTGAAAGAATGATGTGAAGCGACAGATATACTATTTTTTTTACTCACCCCATGTTTGTGAGAAGTTGATATGAGTTTTTATCTACTGCTCTATTAAGATAGAGGCTCGGTCCTATGTGAGAAGCTCAATGATTGGAAGATAAAGTTCCCTGCGTCCTGCCACTCACCATTCTGACATGAAAAGCCAGGCTGCTTCTTGTGAAAGCTGAAATCATTGTTATCATGCATATTGGTGTGAAGGTGCACGCAGTAAGATGCTGGTGTCATCATATGTGTTGACTTGAATTGTTCCTTTTTTCTATAATTTACTGTCATCCCGTAATGTTTCCAGCACCGATCATTCCTCACCTAGTGATTCACGAATCAGGTACACTCCTTTCCTCCTGTTTCACATTGCGTTATCAAATTCGATGTCAGGCATATTTGAAGTCATACTCTTATACTATTGAGCTCATGGATTTGTACTAGTTTCATTCCTATAAGTATAAGCAATTATTTGCAAATGGGGAATTATCAAAATGAAGTCTTATATGTACGATATGAGGATTATTGTAAAACCGGGATACTTTATTCCATACTTTCCAAAATGAAGTTTAGCAGGTAACGTACGACTCCAAGACGACCTCTCCTCACCCCGTCTACCGTAAGCTCGAAATACGGTCAGTACAACTATACCAGGTCATTTCAGGAGGATTGCAAAGTCATTACAATTAATACACCTCATCTGTCACATTACGCTTACAGACCTTCGTATGGTATGAATAGTGCAAGGAGCAAACAGAAAATACGACAATTTTTTTCTTGAGAGATTTTTTGTGCATGACATGAGAGAAAATTGGCATTTCATTTCAATAGCTGTGTTAGGTTAGGTTAAATTTAAAGGATGAATCTAAGTAGAATAAACAGCATTCGCCGAATTATAGAAAGAAACAGTAAGACAACGATGAAACGCCATGAATTGAAGGCGAAATATAATTTTTTGGTACTTCTTCCAATTGACGCGCTGAAGCACAGCTGATTACTTCAATGATATTCAGTGTCACCAAATCATATTGACTTCTTTCTGGATGAACCCCAGTCATAATTATGAACATCTGGGTTTCTTTCCTGATGAGGATGTACATTGACATGCAAAAACGGTCCGGAGAACTTGAACCTTTCAGTTTCTGCAGAAGAGAGTTCTTCTGAAGGTGAAGGTCATTTATCTCCTTTTTCCGAGGTCAGGAACAAAACCTTTTATTGCTTGAACTTTCACTTCTACCCAGCAATAACTCTGAAATCATTCGTTTGAAATCTCTTAGATCCCTGAGGTGCACAAACCACTTTACCTATTGATATGCTAAATAGAATCTTTATTGCCATTAGAGTTCTGAGTGGTGGTAACATTACCGGATTAACGGCAATTACCCTAGTGTTCCTGATAGGTAATATTACCGGTAAATTACCAGTGAATCCCATTTTTATGGTTTTCAGCAGTTTTTTTCGCAAGGAAAATGCATACTATCCTGCTTTATTCCTATTTTGCCTAAAAGAGTGATCTTCGGCCAGAGTCAATGACGCCGATATAATCACAAAGGTATCCAGGTCTCTGCAGCATTTCTGCATGTATTTACTGTTATGCTGAGAAATAAGCTGTACAGAGATTCTTCTAACTCGAGGCCAATACGCAATAATTCTGATTATCCTGATCAAATCCGCAATAAATATATTGACGGCCATGACACCGAAGGTGAGGTGTCGCGCTTTCGTCTTATTTCGCATTTTCCATGTCGATGATTAGAAACGTAAGTCATTTATCACCGCCACTGGAACATTTCATTAAATCAGTCACGATATACGACGAATGAAAGTTTGAGAGTGGAACAAAAAGTAACGACCAATGATATTTTTCTTGCCACCTGTTTTCATTCGGTATCAATCCCACGTGCATATCTCAGTACTACCACATCTCTATATGGTAATACCTGCCCTGCAAAGCATTTTTTCGCGGATGGAACACTTGGGGAAAAAATTGCATTATTTTCCGATCCAACCATGTAAAAGGAAAATATTTTTTTAGAATCTCAGAAGAGAATGAGAGTCGAGGCTGTTCCGACATGGACTGCACTTTCATGAAATAGCCATGACCTCAGTCTGACTGGGGTCAGGACAATTTGAGTTGGCATGCCCGTCACTGTTAAGTTAAACTTTTCATATATTGTACATATATTGTACAGCTTCAGATATTGTAAGATAAACAAGCGCGAATCAGTGCTATATCTAATACCTGTATATATAAACGATCGTGACTGACTGCTTGACTGACTGACTAACGCTAGTTCTAACCATGTTCTAGCGAAGTTAGAAATCTGAAACTTGGTACACGTGTACCTTTTGGGATGCATAGTTCAGAAAAAATCCGACTTTGGAGGTACATGCCCTGGAGGTACATATTTTGAGGGGAAACGCTTTCTTAAAAATATTTTGTGACAGATGAGGATGGCATTGAGAAAATCAATTGGATGTCTCTGGTTCGGTGGTGTAGTACTAGAGTATCCGTCTGGCAATCAGGAGGTTCGGGTTCAATTCCCGGCCGCTACTTGGCTTTCACTTGACTTTTCTCTCATTCCATGTCCCGTTACTCATTCCCCCTCCATAACATTATTTTAGCTTGAGTAAAACGGAGAGAACGGAGAGACATGGAAAGTTGAAACCTGGAATGGAGGTGCCTACCGTGACGATGAGGTCAGGAAAAATTCAAAATTTTAAATCCGGGCCCTGGGGGAGTTTTTTTTGGGGCTGACGTTTTCAAGTATTTTTTTGTCCTGGCGTATTGAGCTATTGTGGAAAGATGAAGCTTGGTAAATAACTACCTATTGGGATGCAGCAGAAAAAATTATGACTTAGGAAGTAAATGCCTGGGGGGCACAAATTTCAAAGGGAGATGTTTTCAACTAATTTTTTTGCATCAGTTAAACTGTTGAACATGGAATGCTGAAACGTTGTATGAATGTGACTACTGAGACAATGAGTTAAATAACAATGTTAAGTCTCGATACATCACCTGGGGGAATTTTTTCGAGGTGCGATGCTTTGAAAATAAAAATTGTTTTGGCGAATTGGACAGAAATGGAAGGTGAAACTTGGCACACGTATAAGTGACATGATAATACTGAGCTGAGGGAGTATTCAGCTTTCATGGTGCATCCCTCCGGGCATAGCTTTTGGGTGGGTCGGCTTTTCTAAACATGTATTTCACCAGCGAAACGGGCAAACGTATAATATTGGAACGTTGTGGGCATGTAGTTTACTGAGGATGGATTTCATTTCGGTATTTTAAGAAATGGTACTTTTTGGTTAAAACGGCTCAGGGCACATATTTTGCAAAAGGCGTATTTTCACTAATTTTCTGATCCAACAAAACAGAGGGCGCATGAAATTTAAAAATCTTGACAAATAAGTACCTGATGGATAGGTGCGTAAAGAAAAAAATATACTTTTACTAGATCAGGACGATCGTCAGTAGTTGACTGACAAGTAGCTATTCGCATGCTGAGTTCAGGAAAAGTTCTACTTTGGTGATGCATGCCATAGGGGCGCACCTTTCGGGGAACATATTGATATTTTCAAATTGTTCTCTTTGCTTCAAACGGAGACACATGGAAAGCTGAAACTTGGCAAGAACGTGACCGTTGACTCACTGACCTCAAATGTCAACGTGAAATTTCCAAAATAGTTTTGGGGTTCATATTTCTGAGGACGTCACGTTTTAAAATAATTTTTCATATCCTACCGAATCTGGCAGAAATAGAAAAGTCGCTGGCGCACGCATACCGGACATGATGTTGATTTAAGGAAAAACCTTTTTTGCGTCTCCTCAGAGCACAGCTTTTGTGTGGTTCGCTTTTCCAAATACATTTTTTCTGCCAGCAAAAAGGGGAAACGTATTAGGCTGAAACTGGGTGGCATGGAGTTCCCTGAGTCTACATTTCAAAAGGAAAAAAAAAATTGTTAAAACCCATCAGGGCACTTTTTTTCAGTCCCATTTTCCTGAAATTTTTTTTGATCCAACGAAACAGAGAAAGAAAATATGAACTTCCCTCAGAAGTGCCTGTTTAATGGCTGAGAACAGAAAAAATCCTACTTTTGAAATATGTCCCATTAGCGTAGATTAATGGAGGGAAGTATTTCAAAATATATTCTCCACTCTTACAAAAATGGACATAAGAAAAGATTTAAAGTTAGGTACACATAGAATCAAAGAAGTAATGATTCTGATTTTAAAAAATCAAGACTTTCGACCATATATGTCCCGTTTTTTAATGGTGACGCACTTTAAATAGGTGTTTCCCATTTCGCAAAAAATGAATGAATTGATCACTATCCAAGGCAACGGAGCGCCGAAGGGGCGACCATAACGAGTTTGTTTGCCCGAAGAGCAAATAAACTCGCTAGTATAATATACATTTCGTGTCCTACCCCAGTCAGTTCTATTTTTTCCAGTGTTTCATTTTTTTCGGGCATGTGGGCACCATCCTCATTGGTGACGGAAATGTTACCGATGACCGGAAGGTCGAGTGTAATTCCTCGCAGGAATGCATGCCGGGTAGGAACTTGCCTGAACATAATTCATTTTTAGTCATGACAGTCGATCATTTTAAATATGATACTGTACCTTTCACGTAACTCGCAAACGACGGTCCGATTACTTAAGTGCATTAGGTAGTGTGCTGAGGGTGCTTTGTACATAGGACAGCTTCAATTTCTCGTCTTCCTAGGCCCTAGGTTCCCAAACTTTTTGGCTTGTGACCCAAATTTCCAAATTATATTTGCTTCGCGACCCAAATGGTACCAGTATGTACGTGCACCAGTATATATCAACAATGAATGCTATTCATACCTTTATTAGATTGACATACATTAATAATTAATTATTAACATTTGTTAACTTTGAAGGTAATTAATAATACGGTTGCTCAATTTCTTCAAATTTCATTTCATGAACAATTGAGAAAAGTTTGAAATTTATTAAATAAATAAAATAATTAATACTTCAAATAAACAATTATTTTTGTCAATGTTTCTCAGCTAATTCTCAATGAGCTGATTTTTACAGCCGTAATTCAAGCTCCTCATCAAGTTCAGTGACTTCCATGATACAGTTGCACCTTCTCTATCAGCTGATCCAATCTTGGGCTGGTATTAATGGAGAGAGATCAACGCAGATCATCCTGTGGATGAAGTCTATTTCTTGGCGTGGTTTTGAGGGCCACAAGGGATGAGATTCCAGATTCGCAGATATGTGGTTGGGAAAGGCAGCAGTCTTTTCAGCTTCGTGACTAAGATTTGGCTCGTCTTTCAATTGTGCCCAAAAACGTGAACACTACAATTGAGTCAATTTTTTTCCCTGAACTTGATTTTCCTAGAGATTCAGTTCTTCCTTAAATCCAGGTATGTAATAACCAAATTCAGTAAAGTTCAAATCAAAAGGGTTTCGGACCAAGTTGTGCTTTGGGGGTCGACATTTTCCGACATATATATAGATCCATCTCAACCTGAAGCTTTTTCAAATGTCCCTAAACAATAATTTCCAGGTCAGTCAGGCAAAATTTTGACTGGTCTTCCAGAAAGGCATTCAGCTCTGGGAGTGCTGCTGCAATCTTGCCCTTGGCCATTTTTTCACTCCAAAGTTTGACTTTATTCTTGAAGGTTGACATTTTTTCACCAATATCGGCCATGGTGTGGATGCGACCCTGCATATCTGTGTTAAGTTTATTCAGTTGATGAATGCTGTCACCTAAATGGACCATTTTGGCAGCCAAGTGGGATCCTTGAAGCAGTCAGCCAAGACGTTCTTCTTCTCATGAATAAAAATTTCGATTTCAGTTCTCAGTTCCAAAACTATTGCCAGAACCTTTCCTCTGGAAAGCCAACGTATATCTGAGTGAAAAAACAGGTGTTGATGCTCAGATCCGATTTCATCACGCATATTTCGAAACAGCATCAGTTTCAGGGCTCTTGCTTTGATGTAGTTGACGATTGCAATGACATCCTGGAGAACTGAATGTATCAATAGATCTGTGTGCATTTCTTGGGTTGCTAGATTTTCTCGATGCAGAAAGCAATGAATCACAGTGACACTGGGATTGACCTTCTTAACTTGAGAAAAAAAATCCCAATCTGCTTCCCTTCCTGGCTGGGGCTCCATCTGTGCAGATAGCCAAGCAATGTATCCACCCAAGGATATGCTTTTTGAAAAAAATAATGTCAACCAAGTTGAAGATATCCTCGCCTGTTGTTGTGGTTGACAGTGAATTGCGGAAGAGAAATTGTTCCAGAATGCCATATTCACCCTTGTACCGTACTATAAACATGACCTGGGGATCCCTCCAATATCAACAGATTCATCTGTTTGGAGAGAAAATTTCCCTGCTTCTTTCAGGGTTGTCTGAATTTGATCCAAAATATCCTCAGAGATGAGATCAATTCGACGTTTGATACTATTGTTGGAAAGTGGCATCATTTCTAATTTCTTTGCCATTTCCCCGCAGCACACAGTTCTTGCCATATCAATAGCAGCTGGCTTCACAAGTTCTTCCCCAACGTTGTGAGGCTTCTTGCATTGCGCTATTTTCCATGCTACTTAAAAGAAAGCCAGAGTAGCTTTCTCTAAAGAAGAAATAGCTGACTTTGAGGGTGCGTCAAGCCTCATTCGTTTCGCAGCATCCTTTTTATCCCTCCAAAAGCTCAGTGGCTTGTTAGCCATATTCGCATGCACAGTCGTCGAATGTCGCTCTAGTTTGTTTTATTTAAAATATGAATTTGCCAAGACCTCCATGCACTGTACACGCATTTAAGAGTGAACAGGTATACTGATTAAATTAAAAATATTTGTGAGGACTTATTGTGAGAGCTCCTGCTGCGGCATGCCTTGAGTGACTGAGGAATGAACAGTAGCATAGCATTTCTACTGACCGAGCTTACGAGGTGTTGTTACTTACCATAGTTTTCTCTCATGTTTCTGCACGCACTGTGAAATGAACTGTACCAGAGCAGTCTTGCTGATCGAGCTGACGATCAGACAAGTTGTAAATATATATATACGGTATACTGATACCACATTTTTCTCATGTTGGTGAGCTGTTGAATGAGGCACAGCCTTGGAAGCTATCAGTGTTGCTGAATAATATGACAACTTGCTCTCACCATCAGTTGACTCATACGATCGGAATACTGTACCGTAGTGGTAACCAGACGTTTCACGAAAGGAAGTTTGTGCTTTGTTTCCCAGAAAAAATTAATATATTTAATTTTTGGCTCTGAGTGTATTCCGCGACTCATCATAAGGACCTCGCGACCCAACTTTGAGTCGCGACCCTGGGTTTGTAAACCCACGACCTAGACTGAAAGAAATTCCGTCCTAGACATAAAATTTTCATTTTACGTTCATTGAAAAGGGGAGTTTAATTTTAATACTTATTGGTTCAGCCTGAAACAATATTTCTAACTCATTCTCCGATCTGTGTTGGATAGGTTTGGGGAATATTATACAACTTAGAATGGACAGCTGTTTAGAACGAATGGAATTTTATTGAGGGAACTTTAAACAACCAAAGAAGCTCATTAAGAGTCCTTAACACGTTGACGGAAAATACGGCCATAGCCATCATCCTTGTAGGCCTTCAGTGGGACAAAACAGGAATTTGATAATAGGATATCCATGCTGCTCTGCCTCAAATGGGGCACAGGAATCCAGACAATTTCCTTTTTCCGGGCCAGGGATACCCTACCACTGTTTTTCTTGTATAATTTTCAAAAGTAGCATTCTCCTTTGCGTAAGGAAGCATCTTCAAAGACCATAGCATTCACGATTCTTGCAACTAGACAGCTAGACTATTTCCATGGTTATGATGAAAACATTATTTCCAAAATCAGGACAGTTCATGTCATCACATGACATGAACTGTTCTAATGTTTGGAATAAATACATTGGAATGATCCTAGTTATTATTTCTCCATAGAAGAGAAGAAATATGTCATCGTGTCAAGATGAGTTGAACAAGATCAGGCGGAACTGGCTGAAGCTACGTGATGATTTCCATCTTGATTTTGATGAGTTACGACGCAGGTTAACGGTAAATGAAGTTATCACATCCATTGAGGATCAGGTGATTGGTGGCAAGCAAGAGCTCCAGGAAAGAAATGATGCACTCCTTACGAAGCTTCTTTCCAAGGACCCAGGCATATGGGTCCCCAAGTTCCACGAGGCACTGAAGAACATGAAAAGAATAGATATCTACCGTTTTTTGCAAGGTATACTATTCGTTACCCGAGCCAGCATCAGTCTTGCTGCAGCCGCTAACAGCATTCACATTCGCCTCATCTTCGGACATGCGCTACTTTGATACGCTGATGCGTATAAATCAGGACCTAGTACTACCTCCAGCTATCAACCATGCAGAATGCCACACAGTCTCTATATTGTACAAGCCCCAGTTAAAAAATCCCTGCTTGTTCTGGGATGTGAACTTATTGAACTTTTATCTTCAAATTCCGGCCAAAAATCTGTATGAATTAAGATTTTTCTAACCGCCACAGATTTATTCAAAAGAAAACCACTTTACTTCCAATAAGACACTTTGTACAACGCTGATGCATTAGTACGTACTAATATAGCTGAGAAGAAAACTCAGATCTTGTCAGAAGAATGAGGAAATGAATAGTTAACATATGAAGACCATCTCTTGCTAGGTGTTTTTCTGACGCTCCCATACGCTAGACAATCCAGTAGCATGCACGAGAGTGGAGGGAAAAAGTTTTTCTTTCAATATATATGATTTGTTATTGTAAAATTTTCACAGAGGTCAAGGGGCCATCTCATGGTAATCAGGATACCCAGTTTCAACAGTCTGCATGTGTCGCTCAGCCTTCAGAAGAGACCAACAGTAGGTAAGTCCTAAACTGCAGATATGCAAATTCGAGCAGTTGTAACTAAGTCAAGAATGGGTCACATTGTAGAGCACTTTATCTCCCCTTGGACCGTTGTCGGTCCAAGGATAGGTAATGGCGTGAATGAAGGGCATACTAAAACAAAAGCATCACTCAAGTAGCACACCTGAGGTTAATGAACATTGATTCAACTTTCAATGTCAACACAGCTAACGTTGAAACAACAGTGGCCTATTCACATTAATTCTATATTGAAATTTCGTTTTTTTTTAATAGAAATTTAACGCAACGCTGCCATAAGCAGTATATCAACATTGATTCAATGTTCAACGGCAACATTGCAACGTCGATTCATCATTTACTTCTCAACGTTGACTCCCACTGAAAATCCATTTTCTTCAACCTTAAACGTTAAATCCACTATGGTTCAACGCTGATATGAGAAAGGTCTCAAGAATCCGTTTAAATCGTGCGCTTGTGCCACTTCATCAATGAAGTACGATTTGAATATCAACGGAATACAATCTCAAAATTCCAAATTCGAATTTTAAAGATCCCCCGCTCTAAACCCATCATGAAATGTATGTTAAGGTGTGAGAGAGAAACAATTAATAGGCTTTAAATAAAGAAATACGTATATGAAGCATGTACCTAAGTATATATATATATTTTTTATGAATCTACATGTTCCAACTTTACGTTTTTATTGAGACAATTTCACCATGTCAAATGCTCGCGAGAAATTTTTAATTCTTATTGCTTGCTTGATGCGATAGGCTTTAGGCCAGGCGTCATTTTAGCCACCTCTTATCTGCCCTAAATCAAGCATTTATCGCGATTGTAATGTATTCTGGGCGATTGACCAAACTATTCAACGAACCATAATGAAATGCACAGAAAAAATCCTAGTAAAGGTAAAGGAAAAAAAGAAGGGATTTTTTATTTACTGCCAAAGAATCCATTGAATTGAGTTTGACTTAATGTTGGCACTTCCACCGTGAATAGAGCAGCATTGATTCAATGTTGAGTCAATGTGGGTGTATAAACGGTGATGGTCACCGTGTTGAATCAATGTTGACGTATAAACCATCAACATTGAAACATTGGATCCACACCAAATCAACGTTGAATCAATGTAATGTGCTACCTGGGTTGTGGTATTGCCAGTAAATGTCAACTCAAAGCATGCTCAATTTAGCTAACCAGTCACATGTAACACTAAATCGTTCTCTTCGTCTCGGTACTCTGTTTTAGGTTCAAAGATTTCTGGTCGAGAGGCAGAGGATCAGGAGTATATATTTCGTCTGAGGGAGAAGGAATAGAGGGTGTCACTCAGCGCAGCTTGACCATACAAATTAGTACATTCGTCGTAATAGGCTTCTTTCTTGTTGCCCTGGCTGTTTGGTACTTCTTCCCATATCTACGTAACTTTTATCATGGGGGGAGGTCTTATCATGCGATAGAGAAAGGAAGGAATAGTCACACCCAAAAATCAGGCAAAAGCACCACCCCCCAAAATGGGCCCGATGCTGCTTCCATGAAACACGGAGAACAAGGCGAGTGAGGTTCATTACTAAAGCTTGAGTAGAAATATTTATGCAGAAGTATATTTCAATTCCTTTATTATTTCTTTCAGAGAGAGTCAAGGTGAGAGTCAAAATGGAAGCTATGTCCCCCAGGCATCGGCAACTCACTGCCCAGAAAGCACAAAACATTGATTCAGTGTTGATTCAGTGTGGATCCAATGTTTCACTGTTGACGGTTTATACTTCTATGCATACTTATAGCATATCATGGGAGGGATTTCATGCGCTTTCACATGAGCCAAAATAAATTATCTCATGTGAAATATTTATGTATTTTATGCCGTAATGTAACTTAAATTCAAGGCTAACACTGAAGGAAACTATGCCATTACCCATTTCCTTGGAACCAGGGGGCAAGACATAAAGGATAGTCAGAGGTTAGTTTTCAGCGACGGCATGTTGAACGCAAAGTTTCATTCTGATTTGTGAGATGCGCCAACAGCTTCTTGAACGCTTCAAATAGTATGACCACATTTTAGGGTTTTCTACAGGGTATTTGCCAATTAGTCACCATTCTTAAATAAAGTAACTCTTAATGTATCAAGGTTATCATAACGCCTTTCTGACCATCAAATAGAGCAAGCTGCAATATATATTTATGTGCAGTTAGCAATCCTAACAGGTTATGCAAGTATCAGCAAGTATGGCGAACAACTCATTAACATATGGAATTTCGCGAGCTCGTCATCTCAAACCGTTTTTCACAAATGTTCAGCAGTACTTTCTCGTGGCCCCCAACTAGCCTCGACATCTACACGTATGACTTATTTAACTTTGATAATAACTAAAGAAAAAAGATTTCAAGAGAGCTACTCGGTCAGTCCCTGAACTAAAACTAGCAATAACGGACTGCCTCCACGAAATCGACCGTGAGCTGCTGAGTACCTTGATGAACAGCATGCTTGTACACCTCGTCGCTATCAATCTAAGTGGATTAAGAGTGCTAATGACGGCATTTGGAGCTTCGAACTGACAGTAGTGAATTGATATTGAGTTTCTGTTCATTCTCCATTTGAATTCCTGGATGTCCTTTCCAACAGGAGGATGTCCCGTACAAAGAGTGCGAGGACATGGAGACTTGCAGTAAAAAACCTCAAGTGGAATGTTTCAAGAAAGATGGGATCAACATCCTCAAGGATATCAAGGTTGGTGTCAGGAATACATACAAGCCTAAATAACATGGGAGGTGAGCAATATGAAGTTTAAAGGGTTTTGGACCCTCAAAAAATTTTAAGCAAAATTATATATCTCGTAGCACATACATTTACCAGTAAAACTGGTCCAATGTTTCTGGCTTTGGTGTTTGCATACTAATCATTTCATGAATGAAATCAATTCAAACCACGTTTTCAGGGAGGAGAGCCTTGAATCTTGGCTTCTATTGACTTTGTTTTGAATGAGAGAATTTTATGGAATGGGCTATCAAAGGCGCATGTGCCATTGGATCAGTTTTGCGACATCTTTTATGTTCAACCAATCGGCATTTGTTGATCGCGGTGCAGCCATTCCAACTTAACCAAACTTACAAAAATGATGCATTTCCACCATCTACACTCACTTCCACTCTCTTATTCTTCCTTTACAACTCCCTTCACCATGAAACGCAATTCCTGAAAAATTCGCATCAACATAGATTCTCTGCTCGACAACGGCCTCTCGTCGCAGAAAACTACAGCACAACTGGGTGTATGTAATAACAGTAACAAGAATGTCCGATAAGGTCAAGCCTAAGGCGCAGAAGACCCCTAGTGGATGACAAGTGAAGAAGATTCTCATCCTTTTCCGTCCGTGTTTTACCTTTCACTGAGAGTGTGGAGAGACGCAACCTAGAGATCTAAATGCGTTTTTAACTTCCGACTCATTGTGTCGTTCGAGGTTGAATAATCGGATGGAACGCGAAGAGGCATTTCCACTCAAAATCACTTCCTGTCTCAAGGTGCCGCGCATATGCGTTATCAGATGGGTTTACCCTCTTAAGATAGGCATTTCGATGGAAATCCACCTGCTGCCTTGTCGCCCACAGCCGTATTTCCTCTTTCCTTATTTTGTGCATGAAGGAATGAAACTCTTAAAGGCATTCGCGATGGGAGACATCGAAAGCATCCCACGCACTTACTGCAACACAAGTGTGAGTGGGGGAGTGGTTGGGGGAGGGGGAGGGGGGGGGGAGGTGAGAGAGGGCGAGGGGTTTCGCCAGTATCATCATAATTTGGATCCTTTTGATGCTTCGCGTGCATTGTTTCGTAAAAATTATATTCTCAACTAGCTTGTACCCGTGAAATATTCACGTCTTCTTATTTAAACTTAATTGACTTATGTTCCGTAACACTTAAATGAAACACAGAGCTGGAATTTTGAACAGCTATATTTTGGATAAATAATATTTAGTGCGTCCCGTCAGTCACTCCACCTCTCCTCCCAAATTCCCGAATTTCCCAATAAACGAAAACCGCCAAGAACTCTCCTCGCCTGTGCGTCCGTTAGGCCTAGGGTCCGCCCTGTTCATGGCGTCCCCCACACTTAGTAGGAGCAGGCGGGCCCACTGGTCTTAGTTTCTTAATGAAAATTTCCCTAAATGGCCCCTGCACAGTGGGTTTGCAGGCATTAATTGCCCCAAAAATCCAATATCTCAGATTTTCCGGCAATTTTTCCCCCACAAACATAGGAACCCAGATTTCCTGGATGTTTAAAATTATTTTGTAAATGACAGAATCAAAATTACCATTTTTATTCTGTCAGATTGACTACTTTGAAAATTGTATTCTATATTATAAAAAATCGCACCAATTTTTCAAAAAAAATTGTGAACCATGTAAGACTGCGTTAGTCTCGATTTGGCTCATACCCCTGAGTGAGGCAATGTCCTAGCAAAAATGATGCATTATTTCCAACTGGTGGTCTCATCCCCTGCAAGCACAGGGGGTAATACCTGGGATGACTGAAATTTTCCCACTTTTCTGACTTTACAGGGCTGTATCTTTCTTTGGCATTACACGGCACTATTCTGCTTCTTCCCAGAAGTTGGGGCTTGTATCAGATATTAGGAATAAAACCGTGGGGAGTTTATTTTAAGCAACTTCTAGCATTACGAACAAAGTAGCGCATGAGATCTACTTGGCTGCAGGAAAGAGTAAATCTGTGGAATTGCGAGATTGATTTTGAAAAGATTTGGGGTTCAAATCATATTCGGAGCTCTAAGCTCTGTTCCTCCCATAAGGGAAAGTAGGGGGAGAACCTCAACTCCTAAGGCGCGTGTGATCTTAGCGTACTGACCATCATTTCTGGGCGCTTGGACGCCGAATTACTGGAATAAAATTTAGCATGACTCTGCCTCTACTCTGTGGCTGTCAGAATGAAATGAAAAGAGAGGTGCCTGAGAGCAAGAGACATCTAGAGGGTTTATAAGAAAGATCCCGTGATTAGTGTCAAGGATCAGAGGTCAGGCGTGACACCTAGGTGGTCATGCGCATACTATGGCCTCCCTAGAGCGGCTCACAGAGAGCTCTTCTTCATATACAGGGCAGCATCTGGTCAGGGCCACTCACCGCTTGTCGTGCCGGCTGGGCGTTTAACTACGCTTTGCTACGACTTTGTTTGCATACAGTATTGAACCCTTCACGCGAAATTCCTGATTGACACTCCATTAAAGGCAATGAAAGTGAAATCATGGGACGCGTCCATGCCTTTTCTCCACTATGCTTTGCTCCAGACCCCCCCCCCCCCCCTCGTATGACGTTATTCTTCATATGATGATACAAACATTTTTTGCGTCTGCCTGCCCTCCAGAGGCCAACATTGTCCTCATTTTCGAGCCCTAAACCCGATCGATCCAATTCGAGTCTCGACCTGTACCTGGCCCGAAATCTGATTGTAAATCTTCCCAATCCGTCTCACGGGTAGGATCTATGAACTTTAATACCTCAGGAACCGATGACTGAATGCATCCTCCACTTCTCAATTCATTCATCAAATCGAATGCTACAAGATGGAATTCGCTCAGAATTCGTGGATGAGGTATATTGAGATTATACTAGTGGCAGGTAAAAACCTGCTGCAAACCGGAGGAAAGGGAATACTCTTTCGTGGAAGGAATCGCCATGATCTTCAGAGACCACCCCCAAGTAGGACCCAAAAGTGTTCAATGAACGTTTCATTCAAGTTATGGCCAGCGTTCCATTAATGTCCTTGGAAACGTTCTATTAACTGCTTAAATGTTCAAAATTCAAAACAATGAAAAATAGTTCAAATTATGTGTTCCTGGAACTAAGTGAATTAGATTTTTCCAGGGAAACTGGGACAATATCTTCTTGAACAGCTTCTTGAACGCTTCAAATAGTATGACCACATTTTAGGGTTTTCTACAGGGTATTTGCCAATTAGTCACCATTTTTAAATAATGTAACTCTTAATGTATCAAGGTTATCATAACGACTTTCCTACCATGAAATAGAGCAGCAAGTATGGCGAACAACTCATTAACACATGGAATTTCGGGAGCGCGTCATCTCAAGCCGCTATTCACAAATGTTGAGCGGTATTTTCTCGTGGCCCCCAACTAGCCCCGACATCAACACGTGTGACTTGTTTGTCTTTGAGAATAACTAAAGAAAAAAGGGTTCAGAGGTATCCAGTCAGTCCCTGGACTGAAATAAGACTGCTTTCATGAAGTCGATGGTGAGGTGCTGAGTAGCTTGATGAACAACATGCTTGTATATCTCGTCGCTCTCAATGCAAGTGGATTAGGAGTTCCAATAGCGGCTTTTGGAGCTTCAAACTGAGAGAAGGAAATTGCGCAGAAGTTTCTATTCATTCTTCATTTGAATTCCAGGATTTCCTTTTCGACAGGGTAATGGCGAGTGCAGTGTGTACAACGACATAATGGCGTACATTAAAGATCCTCAAAAGGAGCCTTTCAAGAAAGTTGGGATCGACATCCTCAAGGATCTCAAGGTCAGTCTTACGAATACATGTAGGCCTACATAACACGGGAGGGGATCAAAATGAAGTTACGAAGCTATTTTGTAGGTGGGACTAGGTTTAGCAGGTTTTGACCCTTCAAAAAATTTATGGTAAAATTATATATTTAAAGTACCACATACAGCGACCATCAAAACTGGTCTAATGTTTTTGGCCTTGGTGTTTGTGTGCTAATAAATTAATGAATGTCCAATCAATTCAGACTGTGTTTATAGGGAAGATAGCCTTGATTCTTTGCTTACAATATCCATTGACTTTGTTTTGAACGGGTGTGTATTCTATAATAGCGAGTTTGTTTGCCCTTTGCAAAGAAACTCGCTATGGTTGCGCCTTCGGTGCTCCATTACCTTCGATAGTGATTAATTCATTTATTCTTTGCGAAATGGCAAACACATGTTTAAAGTACGTCCCCATTGAAATACGTGACGTATAGGGTCGAAAGTCTTCATTTTTATCAAAATCATTACTTCTATTATTTCTGGTATGCCTAACTTGAAATCTTTTCATGTGTCCCTTTTTGTTAGGGCGGAGAATACATTTTGAAATACTTCCCTCCTATAATCTACACTAAGGGAACATATTTCAAAAGTAGGATTTTTCATGCATCAAATAGGTATTTCTGAGGGAATTTTAAATTTCCTGTCTCTGTTTCGTTGGATCAAAAAAAATAAGGAAAATGAGACTTAAAAACGATGCCCCTGATGGGTTTCAGCGAAAAATTATTTTCCTACTGAAATGTAGACTCAAGTACTCCGTGGCACTCAGTTTCAGTCTGATACGTTTCCCTTTTTCCTGACGGTAAAAAAATGCATATTGAAAAGCGAAACACCCAAAACCTATGCTCTGAGGAGACGCACAACAAATGTTGAATTTTTCCTTAAATCAATATCACGTCCGTTATGCGTGAGCCAGCTGCAAATTTTCAAGTTCTGCCCGATTCGCTAGGATATGAAAAATTATTTGAAAACGTTACGTCCCCAAGAAATATGAACTCCAAAAACATTTTTGAAATGTAACATTTGACATTTGAGCGCAGTGCGTCAATGGTCATGTTCTTTCCAAGTTTCAGCTTTCGATGTGTCTCCGTTTGAAGCAAAGACAACTATTTGAAAATATGATCCTCGAAAGGTGTCCCCCTATGGCATGCATCACCAAAGTAGAACTTTTCATGAACTCAGAATGCGAATGGCTACTTATGCTT